CGGGCCTCGGCCACCGCCACTGCCCAGTCTGCGCCGCGCCGCGGGTTGCGGTCTGTATGTCCTGGGGCTTTATGTCCTCGGTCTTTTGGGTTTTGGGTCTTTGTCCTGGGTCTTTATGTCCTCGGTCTTTTTTGGGTCCATGGGTCTTTGTCCTGGGTCTTTTGGGGTTTTGGGTCCTGGGTCTTTTGGGTCCTTGGGTCTTTATGGCCTGGGTCTTTTTTGGGTCCTTGGGTCTTTGTTTTCGGTCTTTTTTGGGTCTTTATGTCCTGGGTCTCTTGGGTCCTTGGGTCTTTATGTCCCGGGTCTTTTTTGGGTCTTTTGGGTCCTTGGGTCTTTATGTCCTGGGTCTTTTGGGCCCTTGGGTCTTCATGTTTTGGGTCCGGGGTGTTTTGGGTCTTTGGGTCTTTATGTCCTGGGTCTTTTTTGGGTCTTTATGTCCTGGGTCCTTTGGGTCTTTTGAGTCCTTGGGTTTTTATGTCCTGGGTCTTTTGGGTCCTTGGGTCTTCATGTTTTGGGTCCTTGGGTCTTTATGTCCTGGGTCTTTTGGGTTTTTGGGTCCTTGTGTCTTTTGGGTCTGTTCTTGCTCAGAAAGGATGACAGAGGAGAAGAAATGTTGAAGCGATGTCATTCTTCTCCGTTCTCCTGCTTCCATAGAGGCACCTGCCTCCCTGCTTTGAGGGAAGCGGGGAATCACAGCGGGCCGTGGCGTCCATCCCTTCCCAAGCCTGTAGAAACCTGGTGGGGTTTCCTTGGGAAGTTTGGTTCATTCTGGTGTGGAAGTAGCCCTCTCGATTTCCTGGCTCGCCAACGTTTTGTATTAGTTTGTTGAAAGATTTGCCGTGACTTAAATATGAAATGATGGCTTGCTCTTTTCTTTTTTAATATATAAGGAACCTGTTTTCAGTTATAAATGAGCAGAAAAAAATGATGCATAGTGTCTAAATTATGTATGTCAAACTTGTATCTTGAAAGTAAGGAGGCAAAAAGAAGAGGCTTGGGAAGCTCTGAGTCAGTGGTTCCCAAACTCTGACAGATTGTGTGCCACCAATTTAAAACAATACAACCTTGGGTACCAGCAGCGTCTTTTTTCTGTTCAGCTTTGGGTACCAAAGCCAACAAATTTTTGTCATAAAGTAATTATAATAAATCTTTTAACATGTACCACTGGCGGGCTGTCTGAGTACCACTGGTGGTACACGTACTGCAGACTGGGAAATGCTGCTCCAAGTTATTTGGAATTAATATCCTTAGTGTTTATATCTTTCACGTCACATAGGAAGTAGCGAGAAAAAAAATCAGGCTTGTGTGAGGCGGAGATAGACTTGGATCTCTAACAGGAGCAATAAACGTGTTTTTGAAGCTGCTCAACACAATGTAAACCTAACTTGATATGTAAATGTTGCAGGGAGTGTTGCGGGGTGGCAGCTGTCCCCTGGGTGGAGAGGCAATGTCAGTGCCATATAAGTGAAATTGCAGGTTTTTATGTACACAGAGGTTGCACAGCACTCGTGTCAATTAAATTTAACTTTTTTTCCAACTACTCAGTTGGTCTAATAAAAGATATCGCATCTGCCCAAAGAACCTCGCCTGCCAATTAAATTTAAAGTTTTTGTAATACATGACATACCACAATCTGTCTTTGCCAATCCCTGTATCTTGGTTCTTTAAAAAAAACCAAACAAACCCAAAAAGCTTGCACATGATTGTCAGGTTAAAGTTTCGAGTTCTGTCACCCAGCTCTTTTCAGAGTTACCAAATCACAAACAGTAAACTGGAAAACAGGAGGAACTGCGGGGCACTGCATTTCTGGCAACAAGTCCGGTAGTGCCTAACCCAGACTTTGAATCCACCATAAGCTGCTGAATCATTTCATATATTTCTTTTCTTTTTGTCTGAAAATTGATGGAAAAGGTGGTTTAAGGGTACAGTAGTGCATGTTAAAAAGTGATATAGATACTCATATTTTATTTGCTTTCATATGGCGTGTTTACTGCCATAAATATTGTTAGTTTATGTAGTGTTGCATCTCACCAAACTGAATGGTAGAAGTCACATAATTTTAGTTGGTTTGTCTAATTTTCTTTTCTTCGTTTTAGAAACAAATTCCCTTACAAGTGGAGGATGGGACACTTCTTCCTGGGGATTAAATTCTAATGCAGAACCTCAAACTCAGCCTATATCTACGACAGCAATCACCAAACCTGTTAGGAGGACAGTAGTAGATGAATCTGAAAACTTCTTCAGTGCCTTTCTCTCTCCAGTGGATGTTCAGAGCATACAGAAAAGTCCAGTGGTGTTTAAACCTCCAACCAAATCTCAGTGGCCCAAAGAAGAAGTGAACAGCACTTTAAAAGAATGTATCCACACCAGTCAGCCAGATGCATCAGTAGTAACAGAGCCAGAAACACAAGACTCCTCTGTAATTACCCTAGTGGACTTGGAAAACCTTGATATTCCCCAGGAGAAATTAGAAGAAAGTTCTTCAATTAAAAATGACAGTGAGCATGAAGAAACAGCAAATGAAAGTTCAGATAAAGCAGTCTCTACTCTAGATCTGAAAGTACCTGAAGCTGCTGTGAATGTGAAATCTGGCATAGGGAAGGATGGATCAGAAAGTGCACCAGACAGCCTTGCACAGTCTCTTACACCAGAGGCAAAAGACGTGGGCTTGGAAGCCAAGGAGCAGAAAAATGAGGACAGACAAAGCAATACACCTTCACCACCTATCAGCACTTTTTCCTCAGGCACATCCACAACTAGCGACATTGAAGTTTTGGACCATGAGAGTGTAATAAGTGAGAGCTCAGTTAGTTCCAGACAAGAGGCAACAGATTCAAAATCCAGCCTTCATCTGATGCAGACTTCCTTTCAGCTCCTATCTACGTCAGCTTGCACCGAGTATAATCGTTTAGATGACTTTCAAAAAATGACAGAGAGTTGCTGTTCCTCTGATGCATTTGAAAGAATAGACTCGTTCAGCGTGCAGTCGTTAGATAGCCGAAGCGTAAGTGAAATCAACTCGGATGATGAATTATCCGGCAGGGCTTGTGCTTCAGCGTCTATTGCAGTCGGCCCCTCGACACCAAAGACCGAGATGGTTGACTCCGTGAAAAATAAATCTGAAGAAGAATTGAACGAGACGCTTCTTGTGCATCCGGAGGAAACTGAAATGGAGGAGAGCGGGAGAAGTGCAACCCCTGTTAATTCTGAGCAGCCGGATATTTTGGTTGCTGCTGCTCAAACAGATGAAGAAGAAATGGTAAAAGTGGAGTGTACAGCGCAGCACCAAGATGCTGAAACATTGCCTGAACTGGACTGTGAAAAGGAAGAGCTTCGCAAGGTAACAAACACTTTTAACCCTGAGCATTTTGGAGGCTAAATTTAGTCCTGTTTTAAGTGGGTGAAGCTACTTTGACATCAGTGCGTAGGCTTTGGTGTATACTTCGCTTGTCCAATATTTTTGAGCTAAAACATTCAATTCTAATAGAAAATTAAGTTCTTGATTCCCTTCAGCATTAGGACTTTCCTATTCATCATTGCATAGAAGTCATCAGGGCTCTATCTGGGTATAAATACAAGTGTAGAAACCTGGCTGCAAGCATAGAGCCTTAATAGTAGAGCTCTCATGTGTATAATTCTGGCTTTTTTGGCTGTAAATTTGATGATCCCAAACTATGAAGGGAACCCTTAAATTTTTTTTTATGATAGGGAATCATTAATTACTTTTATAGTAATCAGGAATCACATTTTGGAGATATTTTGCTATGTAGACTTGCTAACTGTGAAACTCACTGCATGTAGCTCTAGCTTAAATTTTTTAAAATGTACTTTCATAGCAAATGAAATGGCTTGGGAATAACAACCACCTTTGAGCTATCAAAATCATGCTGAAAATATTGTCAGAATCATACAGTTTCTTAATGCGTACCCTATATCAGCAATATTTCTATTGTTCAGAGATCTCGCATGAAAGATTGCATTTAACAAATAGAAAGCCATGGGTTGTCTATGCATGTGAAAATACTGTGTATTAAGCTAATGACCACCTTAACAGGCTTTCTTTAGAAAGACTAAAGCTGCAAGGTTTGTTTTTTTTTTTAATGAAGAAGAGAAACATTTTACTGGGTACTGAATAGAATAAATATGGTTTGGATGTGAGGCTTAACTAAATACAAGGAGAAATATGGAGGAGCACCACGTCCCAACTGATGGGACGTTAGGTTGGGACTCTACAAACTGAGGTTCTCTTCTCAATCTTGTCCCTGCTGTACTATGATGTAAGCAGCTTCCCCTTTCTGTGCCTCTTTCTCCTCCCAGACTATCCTGTCTGTGCTGAATTAAGCCCTGTCTGATAGGGCCTTGTTCCAAACATATGTTTGAACAGTATGTAACAGCCAGGTCCCATTCTTGATTTTTGGTTTTCTGGGCTTACTGTGATACTGATATTAGCAGTGGTTTGGGATAAAAATCTAGGATTTTATTTAAAAAAAAATAAATTCAGTTTTTTTCAAGGAAAATTAATGAGCATCTGCAATTAAATTGTACAGAATTACAATTTAACCTTCAGATAAAAAATCTTCTTTAATAAGTTCCCCAGGTGTATAATTATACATTAAGCATTCTTTTCTGTGAAGTTTATCTTCTTTTTTCAAAAGTCTGTAAAGAAAACTAAATGCAAAAGGTCTAAAATGTTATGCCAAGACATTCACTGATTGATATAATGTGTTACTGAGTGGTGATGTTCTTCATTAGCTCTTATTCTTGAGCTCCTTAAAATGTTGGGAGAATTTAAGACTCAGTGTAGAATCAGAGTAAAGCCACCCTAATCCCCATCATTTTATTCTTCTCATCTTCATGCCTAAAATTTTTCTCAGATGGTTGATTCGCTGACTGAGAAGCTGGGAAAGAGGGAAACCCAGTTATTGAGTGTTAGTAAAGAGAAGGCATGCTTAGAAGAAGCTTATGACAACCTGAAAGAGTAAGTAGCAAACTATCAGCAGTTCTGCATGTATCTGCACTATTTTGTTAATATATTGATAGGGACTACATAAAATAGTGTGATGTACTAAAACAGGGGTAGGCAAGGTTTTTTGGCTGGAGTGCCGGCATGCCGGGCGCGGGGTGTACATGGCAGGACGCATTGTATATTAGTATATTTAATCATTGTAAATGTTGCCTTTGTTGTGTATTCCTTGCACTGTATATTAGTATATTTAATAATCATAAATGTTGCCTTTGTTGTGTATTTCTTTTTTGTTGAGCATGTTGCAATGAGAGAGAAAAAAGACAAATAAGAGAGAGAAAAAGGAGAGCAGAGAGACGACCAGACACACACATGCCTACAGAGAACCAGAACACACCCAGAACAGACAAATGCACACACACATCTAGAACCGGACACCTGTGTGCACACACAGAGGCAGACAGACGCACAGAACCAGATGTTCAGGCGCTTGGAGCCGGGTTCCTGGGCCACTGGACAAAGCCCAATGCAACAATGCCCTGGTCCTGCCAGAGCCCTTGTGCTTCCCCGGGGAGCCAGCCCCTGGGCTTCAGGGCAGCTGGCCAAGGCCCTGGCCTGGAGCCTGGCCATCAGCCTAACCACCCACCCACCCACCCCGCACAGCTAAGCCTGCAAAAGGTGCGGTGCTTCTGGCAAGGGGCAGCACCAGCCTCATCCTGATGGGGGGGCTGGGCTGGGGCTGGGCTTGGGGTGGGTGGAAGTCAGGTGGGCTCAGCTGCAAGCCCTGCTGCTAGCAGGTGTTGGGCAGCAGCACCCAGAGGCTGGCCCAGCTGCAGCCAGGAGGCTGCAAACAGCTGCTCCAGGCTCTGGCATCGGCTCCATACTGGTGGATGCATGAGCGCCTCGGAGTGGATGAAGGGGATAAGGGCATGAGGCAGCACAGACCTCCTGCCGTCTGCTCTGAGGTGCATGTGTAGTCACTGCCAGCATGGAGCTGATGCTGGGGCTGTGGAGCCCAGCGCAGCTGTTTACAGCCTGTCCGTTGCCTGCTGCAGCTGCCTGGAGCCCAGACTGGCTACAAACAGCTACGCTGGGCTCCAGAGCCCAGTCATCAGCTCTGTGCCGGCAGTGGGGGAGAAGCCAGGGTTGTGCTGCCTCAGGCCGCTCCCCCACGGTCTGCTCTGAGGCGCCTGTGCACCTGCCAGTATGGAGCTAATGCCGGAGCCCAGAGCAGATGTTTGCAGCCTTCTGGCTGCAACTGGCCCGGGTTCTGGATAGCTGCTGCCAACCATGGAGCCTGGTCTGCTTGCAGCAGGGCTTGCAACCACCCAGCTGCCTGCTGGGAGCAGCCCAGGCTTCATGGCTGGCAGCAGTTGCCTAGAAGCCAGGCTGGCGGTGGTGTGCCGAGCAAAATGGCCTTGCGTGCCGTGTTCGGCACATGTGCGAGGGGTTGCTGACCCCTGTACTAAAAGAAACATTTTCCCTTTATATACCTCCTGTATATAATATCAGATAGATTTCACAAGTTGTGTGAAGACATCTATTTTCTGAAATGTGCTTGTAAATTATCAAATCAGAAATCACTTTTGACTTGGTCTGAATTGTAGTAAAGCTGCGTTAGGAGAACATGATAATGCATTTTCAATAAATTTGACATTTATAGTATGATACCAAACTACATTTGCACAGATCTTTTTGGGCACCTATACACATGACGGAGCTCTGCTCCAATGCATGCTAATTAGCACTCATCAGAGCAGACTTTATTAATAGTCTTCGGTAAGTCTGCTGGAGCATGTTAATTAGCGTGTGCTTCAGCAGCCTCTGTGTTGTGTATTCAGTGTCCTGCATTTCAAAATGGTGGCGGAGGCGCTTTAACTCAAGCTTATCGAACAGGCTTTAGTTAAAGTGTCCCTGCTACCATTTTGAAGCATGGGATGCTGAATACACATGTCACTGAGGGTGTCTCTAAGAGCCACTCTAATTAAAGCACCAGCAGCAAAGTGCTTTCCTTCCCCCACCCCCCCCAGACTTTTGTGGCTTTCCTCCCCCCCCCCCCCCGGAAGCTTGTGTATAGATGTCCTTTAAGACCAGTGATATAATACATCGCTTTGTCGTCTTCCTGGTTTTAGACTGCACATAACAATCACAGACCCCAGTCTTGGTTTTTGCTTCCGTGTGCCATTGCAATAGTACTGACTAGGGAGTTTTTTAAAAACAATACTTGTTACATGTTGCTTGAAATGTCATAACAATACAATTATCCTAAAATGTTTTACATGTAGTGAAGTGATCAGAATGAAAGAAGAGAGCAGTAGTATTTCATCTCTTAAAGAGGAGTTTGCTCAGCGTATAGCAGATGCTGAAAAGAAGGTCCAAGTAGCATGCAAAGAGAGAGATACAGCAAAAAAGGTAATCGGCTTTTAGCTTTATTAAAATAAAGCAAGGTGAGGCTGTGTGGGAGCAAATCATAGAAGTGGAGTTGGAGGAAAACATGAGACTGGGTATCTATTGACAAGTTACTTATAGACCAATATAAGATGCGTCTGAGGGGGGAGACCTCTGAGACCAGATAATAGAGGTTGTTTTGTGCCTTGATTGATGAAAAGTGTTTGGGAATTCACTGCCCAGGTATTTCAGGATTTTGGTCAGTGGGCATGTTCTTAGTCTACAAAAAATGCATTAAGCAGTGTAATTGAGAAATTAAACTTATTTTGGCATGACAGATTTGTAAGATAATTGTTTAGAAGGCCACTGATAAAACTTGCATAGTGGGGCCAAGTGGAGGTTGTGCTTTCATTAAAGAGAAGGAAATAGAACTCTGCATTATCTAATTCACTTGAATGAATGAAGAAGTGTTGGTTTTTTATATCAAGTGTATATATAGTAGAAGGGAGAGGCAAAGAAGTCTGGTGAAGAAAAACAGGTGTGTCAGTGACCTTAAAAATATAAGCTTAAAACTAGTTGTCATCTTCATTTTCCTTTTCTCAAGCAATTGTCATTGAATAGTTTCTGTTGAAAAGGGTTTCCCCCCTCCTTCCCTTCTACTTGAGATCTTTTGTTCTGTAACTAAAAGCTCAAGTCACTTTATGGTATTTTTAAGCTTGTTTTCCAGTGGAGAAAGTACTGTGTTAATCTAGTGTGTGTTTAAATAATGTTACTCTCGCATGTAAGCAGTCCTAAGCATATTTGGTTCTCTTTAGGAAGTAAAGACTGTTAAAGAAGAACTGGCTACTAGATTAAATTGTAACGAAACAGCTGAACTACTGAAGGAGAGAGATGAACAAATCAAAGGACTTATGGAGGAAGGTGGGTATTGATTAAGAGGTCTTCTATGGTAAAAGTTTTTATCGTGATTTTGAATATTTACCTTATTTCAGACCAGGTTTGAGGTTGTAGATCTTGTCACTAATAGGGAGACTGAGACTGTCAGCTGTAGCTCCATTGGCATGCCCCTCAGCAGTTTCTTGGACTGCCTACAGATGCCTTTGGAACAACATCCACAATCTCTCACTCCAGAAAGTGGCAGCAGAGCTAGAAAATCCCAAATTCTTTTCTGAATAGAAGTACCGATTCACTTCCCTTAGCGTGGCTGACTATGCCATACCTTTGTAGTGGATGCTTTCAATCAGAGGTGTCAAACTGAAATGAGCTGGTGGCCCATATTCCTCCCTCTCAGCCAGGAGGTGGGTCAGCCGAGAGGTAGCCAGAGGGGTGGGACAACCAACCTTTGTAACCAGCCCATGGGGCTCATCATCAGGGCTGCTGGAGCTTGTTGGTGTGGCCATTAGTTAGGGGGTTAATGTCACTGCTGCTCAACTCCCTCCTCCCCCCATTTGCTTGAAGGGATGTGGGGTGGCCTGAAAGATGCCTCCACATACCAAAAGCAGCTTTTCAGTGCAGCCCTCTACTTGTCATTCCCTGAATTACTAACAAGGCATTATCCAAAACATTTCTGCAGCAAAACATTTGCCTTGATTCATTGCCTTTGGGGGAAAGACATAATTCACAATAAATAGGTTAATTATTTTATCCCTCCGTGAAAACAGATGTTAGTTTTTACCTTCAAACTCTCCATGGAGTATACTGTCCTAATGATCTCATCTGGTGTTGTAGAATTAGCTCCCAACTCTGATTGGCCTGAGATGCTGATCTTCATCACCTCTTTCCAAACCATTCCTATTTTCTCCTATGTTACCCCTCTTGGGTGTAGCTCCCTGTAAGAGTCCGAGGCACCTCCATGTCCCTTCAAATCCCTCTTTAAAACGCTCGTTTGCCCACAGTGGTTAGGCTGGTGAGTTGCTATGACAGCAATCTGTTGTTCTGCCCGGTGTTATCTCATTTGTTGTCTCGTGTCCTTAAATCTGTATCTAGCTGTAATCTCTTGTTCTATACAAAAGTTATATACTCTCTGGGGAAGAAAACATCTTGTTCTGTGCTTGTACAGCACCTACATAGTGATGTTCTGGTCCAGGGCTAAAGTGTTTCATTGCCACAATAATACAAAGAGACGATGATTAAACATTCAGTTCACAGAAACGTGACGTAAATGGATGGAGTTACAAGTTAGTGACTTCGGGCAGTGCAGATCAAGTCATAGTTGTTTCTTGAGATGCAGTGTAGACTTACAGGGTTAAGTAACTTGCTTTTGGTCTGTTTAATAGCAGTTGCCTTCTTTGCAGGTGCAGTAATAAATGCAAAGCACTCCTCTTCCTTAGATGAATGTTCATTGTTCATATAGATAATACACTGTCTTTCCATTAAGGATATCAGCATGTTTTGCATTATATAGAGTAGGCTGATTAAAAAAAAGGGAAGTTCTGGGCATTTAGACTTGCCTTATTTGCCACGTACAATTCAGTGTGATTGGACTTTTGTCAGTTATTCCCCCAGAATCTTTGTATAATAGAAAAAAATGTGCTTACCACTTCGATATCAGTGCCTAATTTTTTTTTTAAAGGTATAGGTTAAAGCGTTTGGGAGAAAATCTAACAACTTTAGAGCTGATTGTCTTGTTTTTTTTTTTTAAGGTTCAACATTAGAATAGTGCGATTCTGAAGACTCTCTGTGATAGTAAATAAACACTGTCTTTTAATCTTTTCCATTAATTATCCTTAACAATGTAACATAGTGTAAGCACATAGATCCTCTGTTACATAAAGCCCCAAAATAAATAAACAGGTAAGTTTGAGATTATTTTATAAAGGAGTCCCCTTTGTAAAAGTGTACCATTTGGTTATACTGCAGTTCTGCTTGTGAGAAAAGTATTATACCAGTCAGTTAGAGTTTGGAAATGTATGCTAGCATTTAACTTAATGCACATCTCTCTTCATAGGAGAAAAGCTTTCAAAACAGCAGCTGCAAAATTCCAACATCATTAAGAAGCTGAGAGCAAAGGAGAAGGAGAGGGAAAACACTAATGCAAAACAGACTAAAAAGATTACGGAATTAGAAGAGGAGTTACAGCTTTTGAAACAGGTTAATTTTATTTGCAATCGCATCCTAGACTTCCTTTTACTGTTATTGATTCCCATCTCTGCCAAGTGGTCCTTCTTGCGGGGGGTTTCTATGACAGCTTTTTGGTTTCTGGGTTTTTCATTTTTGTTTAGAGATTTCTGTTCTTACTCCCATTTCATCAGCTTGGGATGTGGTTTTGGGGTACCTTTACTTGGTGCATAAGAGATTTGTCATCATTTATTTTTCTCATCCTATGGTTCTTAATATTTGGATCCCTTCTTAGTAATTTTAGGCTGCTGTACCTTTAGGTAGTTCATTTTAGATGGTTTTCTTCAAACCTTTCATTTTTTAAAATAACTGATTCCTATTGATTAATTGACATGTTGGTGTAACAGTGGTTGCATGTATTCTGTAATAGTGCCTATCTTTAATCACTGTCAAGCAAATTAATCTTCTTGTGATTTGCTTTGGAAGCTTTAGATGTAAATGTCACTGTATACTTTCAGAGTCTCTAGCCTCTTAGTGTTTGTCATATGTAGCTAGTTTAGGAATTCCACATCTGGTCAGTGAGGTTAAATGAGCATTCCAGATTGACCTTTACAGCCTTCATTTTGAAGTGTTCATAGTATTTTGTTTGCATTAAGGATGTCACTTTGGAGTGGACATACATCAGTGAAACCCAAGAAGCTCGATGACAAGATAATTTATGTATGTTGCCATCTCATCTCAAGGGTGGGGCTTTTGTTAGGGGTGAAGAAGGCTTCCTATCAGTGGTGAACTTCATTGCCACCAGTTCCCTGTACTCATGCTCAGGAATACTACATGGCTTTACACAGAGGCCTGTGTCATTGACTCCTGAGTGTGTTGTTACCATCTAAGTGTGAAATGCTGAAGTGTAGTTGGAACTGAAGTTTGTGAGCTTTTTATAGAATTTAACTAAAGATTTGTTATAAAATGCTCAACCTTAAATACAGCAGAACATTTGTTGTTGTGTTTTTCACTTAATTTTATAAACTGCTACGTGTTGTTTGCCTGTTTGTTTTTGGTTTTTTACCTAATAGGTGCTTGATGGCAAGGAGGAAGTTGAGAAGCAGCATCGAGAGAACATTAAACACCTCAACAGTGTGGGAGAGCGGCAAGAGAAGGATCTTAGCAGGCTTCAGGTGGAGGTGGAAGAGCTTGAAGAAAAGAACAGAAGCATTCAGACAGCACTCGACAATGCATACAAGTAAGCAAGTGTTGGAAAACAAAACACGTTTACATTCAGAATTTCTTCTGTGGAGTGCCTGGGACATGCTTACAACGTGCAGTAAAAACAATAGTTAAAAAACTGCTTTAGTACGGTAGTTTATTACAGATCATTGTAGATGTTATGAATTCTTCAGTGCTTTTAATTCCTGGTTTGCAGAGAGCTTGCAGAGCTTCACAAAGCCAATGCTACGAAGGACAGTGAGGCACAAGAAGCAGCGTTAAGTTGTGAAATGAAGGCGAAAGAAGAACTTGGTTTAGCACTAGAGAAGGCCCAAGAGGAGGCCCGGCAACAACAGGAAGCTTTAGCAATTCAGGTGAATTTTTAACAGGGTGATTAAAGCTTTCTGACTTAATTTGTGAACGTCCTTAGGATTCATAAGCACAGTACTCTGTTCAAATGAGCCAGGCTCAGGGCAAAGGGGTGTTAGAATTTCCCTTTTTCTAAACACTGCTGCCAAAAGCAGATTTGACAAATATTAAGCAGCTCTACCACAGCATTTTTGTAACAAATAAGTAAAATGAGTTTGAGATGCCAAATAGGACAGAGTCAGTTAACAATGGAGCAAAACTTCGGAGGAGGAAAGTCTGCACTAAATCGCATTTAAAATAAGGCCTGTACTTTTTACTTTTGGAGGTAAACTGTTTTTCATGCTCGTAACATTCTTTCTGTGATGCAAAGTGTTAGTTCTTGAACTGACCACTGTATAACCAGTCGGTGGTGTGATAAACAAGCATAAGTTATGCACATGGTGCATGACTGCATAACTTGCTTCTTAAACTTGTCAGTTGAAGCCCCAGTGTAATTACTGGTGCAGAACTGTAGCAGTGATAAAATTACGCTACTAGAATTCCCTGCAAGAGGTTAATGATGTGTAATGGTCTACTTCCTGTGGACACAGGTGGCAGACCTGAGGCTGGCATTGCAACGGGCAGAACAGCAAGCAGCAAGAAAGGAAGACTATTTACGCCAAGAAATCAGTGAGCTACAACAGGTACTGTACATGCTGTTTCAGTGTGTTTTTTCTCACCTCTCTTGTTTCTTTGTTCAAAATGAAAAATGCAAGTATTTATACTAAGCCATTTACTTGGAAGGGGAGCATCTAAAAGCAGTATACAAAGTGCTAAAATGTCTTGAAAATTAATGGCTCAAAGTATAGGTTTGTTGGGATGGTACAATTTGATCTGCTTCTGTAAGGGAGTATTAGGATTCACTATTAAAATTTTTTTTTATATATACCCATTAAGGCTTTGTGAAAAATGACAATTTGGAAACTTTTCATACCATGTTTTATGCACGATGCATCCTTTTAGTATCAAACAAAATTGAATCTTTAAGCTAGTGATAGCAGTATAATGTTTGTAACAAATGGATGTTTAAACTCCTTTTTGTTCTTGGAAAAAATAGTCTATGCTTCATCCTTACCTCTTGGGAGTAGTCCAGAGAGTAGAATCTAGATGTAGCATTGCTTGGATCCTATAGAGAATACTGTCAAAGTTAGTCTTATTAGTTTCAGGTGAGGAAGATGGACTTGATAGCAGATTATATGAGCCTGTGAAAGAGTTAGGAATTGGGAAGGGCAAAAGCAGATCTTGAACTTTTGGATAGGTACAAAAGGAGAGAAATAACAGGCAGGGGCATTAAAATTGAAATCTAATGTGCTGCCAATTAGGGACTAATAGATTGGGACCACCTTCTGACTAACACTGTGAACTCCAGGTATATATGAATGTAATGCTACCTTCAGGAAAAGTCCTGGGCAATTAAATTGCTACCTTACTTCCAGATTTATTGAATATATCTTTTACATAGCCCTTAATTTAGAACCTAAAAATTGTTTTTTAGCTTGATTTTTGTACTGTCACTTAAACTGGTCCTGCAGTTTGAAAGTTTAACAACTTTTAAACTAAATCCTAATTCAGAGACTCCAAGAAGCAGAAAATAGGAACCAAGAACTAAGTCAAAGTGTTACATCTGCTACAAGGCCACTTCTCCGGCAGATAGAAAATCTGCAAGCAACGCTGGGAGCCCAGACCTCCACATGGGAAAAGTTAGAGAAGAACCTTTCTGACAGGCTTGGTAAGACATGCTTCTAGTTTTTAATGTCCTTTGCAGATCTGTGGAGAAGCACTAGATAGATGTCAGTAATGTGAGGAAGAGATGGGCACAGCAGTGTCTGAGATGGGTTTGGGATGGGAGACCTGGATTTAAATCTGTGTCTGCAAAGGGTGCTGTGAGACCCAATTCATAGGTTCTATAAAAGAGCTGAGGTCATGGAAGTATCACCGCTATATGCCAGATAAGTCTTGGGGGACATTTCGCATTTAAAAATGGAACGGGAAGAATGGGTAGTAGAAATGGACCAGCACCTCAAAGTGCCAGACACATTGAATTGGTAGTCATAGGAATAATTGCCTGTGGCTATCCAAGGTTGTGAAACAAATGTATTTCATCTGAGATTATTAGGGCTGTAAGGAACAAAATGACAGTGGAATGATCCAAAGCCACAACCAGGGATGGTAGGGAACCACGGAGATTAGTGTTTTAGCTCTTAATTCTACACTTTAAGAACAGAATACCAAACCATCCTTATTTGACAATTCTTTGTACCTCTTGAGTATGTGCTGCCCATATTTAAAAGCTGGTCCATTGCCATTAGCCAGTCCTCAAACTATATATACCTTTACTATACCTGCATGGTTTTGATGGCTAATGACAGGACTGCTTAGAATATCTTGGGTGATATTGAAAGATAACACTTCTCTAGCATGAAGTCTTACAGAATTAAATCTTCATTGTGTATCTTACTTGCATCTAAAATACTTGACGAAGATCAGATTTTTCAGGTAGCCACCTAAATAATTGGCTTTGGTTATGGATACTTGATGATGTCGACAGTAAGTCAACTAGCCATCTGTTTACAATGGATTACAATTTCTAAATTTGGTTTTAGGTGAGTCTCAATCCCTGCTGGCAGCAGCAGCTGAGCGAGAACGTGCTGCTACAGAAGAGCTTCTTTCCAATAAAGTTCAGATGTCTGCCACTGAATCGCAAAACAGCCTGCTGAGGCAAGAGAACAGTCGCCTTCAGGCTCAGCTGGAAGTAGAGAAAGCCAGACTCAAGAAACTGGAAAATGAAAACAATAGGTAAATTGGGTCAAGTTCTTAGTTCAGAAAGGGTTTTTACGATGTTATACTGACATGAATGGATCTGAATTATACTATCTTGTGTATTAAGCTCCTGTGTCTTTTTTACTTTTAATTATTGGGTTTCTTTTGTGTTTAGTTATTGTCTTTTAAAGTATTAATAACTATTCATATGGTGAGAAAACTGACTGAGGCAGGCAGAGAAGAGCCTTCCTTTTTGTCTGGTACTTATTACTTTAGTTGCTTGGGGCTATCTTTATACCATCCAGGTTTTTGCCAAAGTGCTACTTGAGATGTGAAACTTAATATTTTTCTTCACCTGTGAGGTTCAGTTCACCTGCTTTTGGCATGATAAATGGGTATACTGTTCTTTTTGATTCTGCTCCTGCAAGTTACTTTGCAGTTACAGTTGGAGCCCATGCTGGCATGAGGGTCCGCGTGTGCAAAGCAGCTTTCCCTGGGAACATTAAATAGTATCCCACATCATCTTGTCCTAAAGTAAACTAGCTTAAGTAGTTGCTAAGTGTTTAAGAAGTTGAACTGTGATAGCCCCAATTGGTTTATTTTTTAAAAATTGTTTTTTAATGATAAAAAACCAAGAAAACTATAAAATTACACTGCATTTTGTGAAATTCTTGTTTTTTCAGGCTTTGATAGCTGTGTGCCTAAAATGGGATGTTTAATCTTCCCTACTTTTCATTATTCATAAGAGAGATGTACTTTCTTGCATTGGGAATTCAAAATTTTCTGATGAACTTTCCTAGCTTCCTGGTATCTAGGGGTGAAGGGATGATCAGAGTACTTTCCTAGTCTTTCACTCGGCTGCTACTTGTCTAGTCAGGTGCAGTTTGTTTTCAAGCAGTCCGTCACTTGGGATAGTTTTGTCCCTCTGTTTCTTGGTTTGGGTTGATAATATCTATATGCTTACCATTTTGTATACAAACAGAACAGGCAGTCCTCGACTTAAAACATTTCGCACTTACAACATTTATAAACTGACACCCTGTTTCAACATTACAACGCCAGTTTTGACTTACAGCACTTGATCCAATGCAGTGCCATGCCAGCGAACAAGTTCGCTGCATTGCTCATCTCCCTGGAGAACGTCTGTCCAAACTTCTTGGACACTTTCTTTAAGAAAGCAGATGAGACTTCAGAAAAACCTGCAGCCAGGACTCCTGAGAAGACTCCAGCCATGAACCCTTCAAAAAGTCCAACCAAGAGCCCTTCAAAAAGTCCAGCAAAGTCGCCTCAGAGAAGTCCTTCCAAATGAATAGGATTGTTATTTACAATATAAATATATGAATGTAGCTATATTACTCATCTATAATTGATCAAGTACAAAATTCTGGGGTATTTTTGGTGAAAATAGGGTATCAGGCCTTGGTTCAGGAACCAATCCCCCATTTATAACATTTTCTTACGAGAAAACTTGGTTCCGAGTTACAACGTTTCAACTTAAGACCTGGTTTTCAGGAACCAATTGTGTCGTAAGTCTGAGGACTGCCTGTATAAAGGAAATGTATTGAAATTTTCTTTAAAAAATAAACCAGATAAGCATTAAAATAGGCAGGATAGAGCACGTACCCAGAACAAGACTTAAAATTGCCAGGACTGATCTAAGAAGTGTTCTTAAAAATAGCTAACATTCAAGTAGCAAACCCTGTTCTATTAACTTTTTTTTTTTTTGTATGAATCTAAGATAGAAATTAAGAGAAAATTCTGTTGTGACTGCCTTTATTCATGTCTGTTCTCAAAATAGGTATGAGGTCGAACTAGAAAACTTTAGAAATGAGTATGCGAAAACCCTTGAAGAAGCAAAGAAAGAAAAGGTATTGACTGCTTCAATTTTGCATTTCTTTATCATCAAATTCAGAGTTGGCAGGAGATTATTAATCTACATTTCCTCCTTTAGACACTGTTAGCTACTCAGTTAGAAATGGAGAAAATGAAAGTTGAGCAAGAAAGGAAGAAAGCCGTTTTTGTACAAGAAGCAGCAAAGGAAAAGGTATTGCCGTTTATATTAATATTCATGTAAAATAAATACACGGTGCCAGTTTTATAGCAGGTATCCAGACCATTAAGACAAAACATCACAACAACAAGTGAGACTTAGGAGGCTATAGTACTGTAATACCATGAAAGAAAACATCTGAGACCCAATATTCTTTCAAACTTATCATGTTTTTTTTCTCTACTCAATGCAATTCTGGTGTAGAGGATAATGGATTTATAGTCCTGCATGAGGGTTTATCTACTTAGTCACAAAATAGATAAAGGGTGGGCAATGGCAGCATATGCAGGAGAGAGAGATAAGTGACTGGGCCTATATCTAATTGATATAGAACAGCCATCATTGTTAATCTTCGTTGCTGCAAGTTCTGAAACCAGAAGTCCTGTTCAGAAACTCTTCACTTCATTTTTCTGAATCGAACACGCCTGCAGGTGCTTGTTGCAAGGGTGGTCGGTTTGTTTATAAAACTGGTGGGTAAGAGCTGTTGGCCTCAAAGATCCTGGATTTGGGCAGTGCAACACTTAAAAGTCTCTTCACTGACCTCCCTCCAGGGAAGAAAGCTACCTTTGTGGAATGGGGTCATCCTGTAAGTTCATGAGCTCAGCAAAATTTCTTCAAAATTGCTTCAAAATCTCTTTTGTGGGTAGCTGCTTCTGCTCCTTCATTACCAAGAAAGCTTGAGAAGTTGAACTCGGGCTAGTTGCCCTGGGTGTCTGCTAAATCTTCACTGTTTAAATTTAGTTATGATGTGGGGTGGGGAAACGGTAATACATGTTCTGCATTTGGGAGTGAAAAAGGAAACTCATAAAAACGGTCTTTCTAGATTTAGGATCTTGGCAAGTATTTTTATTTGTTCTCTAAGTTGCTCTCTTTCTCAAGGAACGCAAATCATTTTCATTGTCGACAATGGAAACTGTTTCGAGTACTCCAACTCTGTCACGCTCAAGTTCGATAAGTGGAGTTGACATGGCAGGGCTTCAGGCTTCCTTCATCTCTCAGGTATTGTATGGTGGATCAACTGGTTTCTCTTGCTAGACTGTCTGTTTGCTGGCTTTTCTTTCCAATGACTTATGTTGATGTCTTGATACAGTTGTTTATATCTGCACTAGAACTTAAGCATACCTACAAAATGTCTAGATTTGCACAGTATTCACAGGAAGGAGCCTTGGATTTATATACATTTTTAAATGTAATACAGTAATATAAGCAGTCTATGGATAGCAAGTGCGGAAGGTGCCAGTTATTCCAGGGTGTGTTACAAAATGAATGGAAACTGATTAAGTTCAAGTGGTGTTTGAGAACACAGAAAGATCTCAGTATACTTCTTAATCCTGTGACACTGTAATCTCTTACCACTCAGGTGAAGAAAACAGCTACATCATGATGCAGTCTGCACAAAGGCTGTTTCTGCTGTATCGCTGCAGATGAAAGTGTCTCAGATACCCTTACAGCCATTGTTTAACAGAGCAAACTAAAAAGGAGTGAAGATCATAAATTTTATTTAACTGTTCGCCATGACCTTTTCTTTCAAGTACATTTATTTGAAGCATTGAAACCCTTGACACTAATGAGAGAAGTTTAAATTTACTATATCAATAACATCTAGCTTCTGGTGCCAGAGTTCTTGAAATTAAGTCTTTCATATCCAGTCTTAAGGTTGTTTCACTTTTATTTGTAGGATGATCCTCATGACCATTCGTTTGGATCAGTGTCTGCAAGTGGGAACAATCTTTATGATGCTATAAGAATGGGAGCAGGTTCAAGTATCATTGAAAACCTGCAATCACAGTTAAAACTAAGGGAGGGAGAGATTTCTCACCTACAGGTACTGTAAGTCACTGGGTGTTGTAACTGCATATCATACCTAAGTAGAAAGATTAAAACAGTAAAAAAAAAAAAAAATCATATTCATTTTACAAAGCTTATTTTACTGCATTTGACCCAGTACCTTTATAAAATATGAACGTGTGAACTCTGTGGCTTTGGGGAGTTTGGCTCCCATTTTGTTGGGGACCTTTCTTTTTCTACCCTGTAGCAGTTCTGTAAAAGTCATGATGGGACATCATTTTTTTTTTTTTGGGTGGGTGGGGGAGAGGAGAGCAGTGTGGGGTAAAGAATGGGACGTGGGACAGACCATGGCTGGCTACTTCACCAATATTTGATAAGATTTCATGAAAAAGTGCCTCTGTCAGATTTTTAATAGATGCTCTTCCCAAGCCAGTTAGTTGTAGGTGCTTCAAACATAGTATATCACATCTGTTTGGGGTTTTCTAAAACTCATCTAGGAATGAAAATTCCCCAGGTTACTCTAGCATAAATGCTCATTTGAACCCAAGTGACATACATACAAACAGAGGTCTGCAATGATGGAAAATACTGAAATGTATTATGCCACTGAAAATGTGAATTGAAATATAATGGGTTTTTTGTGTTTAAAATAAATATGAGTTCAGCAATTGATCTTAAATTTTTAATATGAAATGGATTATGTGGATTCTGCTGTGTGTGTGATTGTTATATCTCCTCATGTCTTGTAAATCTAACAGTCTGTATAGTTAAAAAGTAAAGCAGTCATTCTGTGCTGCCATTATAATTAGCTAGCAAGGCCTCTAAACTATGAGCTTTTTAAAAATGAAAAATCTGATTTCTAACCTGGGTTTCTCAATACAAATATCTAATAGTTAAATGCTTTTTTTGTTGTTGTTGTCTTAGCTGGAAATTGGAAACCTTGAAAAAACTCGGTCGATAATGGCTGAGGAACTGGTTAAATTAACTAATCAAAATGATGAATTTGAAGAAAAAGTGAAGGAGATACCAAAATTGCGGGCACAGCTGAAGGTAAGGTGGAATAAATATTTAAGCTCGTCTGTGAATCTGAACTTGAATGACCAATGTGTTTTTTAATTAGGAAAACTAACAAGTTATCATTCATGACTTTAAGTCAGCTAGAGCCCAGCAAGCACAGTTTATACAAAATGTTTTTTTTAAGTGAGAGGATAGTAATCATAAAACATGTTAAATTGTTCAAATCCAGACAGTAAAAAAAATAAAGAAATGTTTACTTTAGACTCAAAATATATTAAGTGCTTTTTTTTTTTTTTTTAAGAGTAAAATTTAAGTGAGTCTATAACTTGGTAATTTTTAGCGTAGAGACTGATGGATTTTATCAGCAGGTTTTGCGTTATGGCAGTTATCAGTTATTTCTGAATGTTATTTTTAAAGGGTCAGTCTAGTGAAAGTATAGTGCAGTGATTGTGTATCCTTCTAAGAGAATTCTGGTGAAGTCTTGCAATTGTGATCTTATACGGAGATACCAGACTATATTTTAAGAAGCTTACGCCAACAATAAAGAATGCTAAAATTTAGCATAACTTTGCTAATCTCCTTCAGGACCAGATGGTCACTTGCACATACAGTTCTCATAATTTTATACACAATTATGTACACATTCCTTGCTCACAGTATTCAGCATTTCTGGCCTGCAACTCAAGTTATGTGAATTGAAAGCGTGGAGCTATTATGTGGAAGATTCAAATTTCGAAGAGTCTATCAAGCTGAACCCGATGATCTCACAAGGTCTCTTCCAGACCTAAACTTCTGTGAATCTGTGTGAAAATATAGATTACTTTGCTCTGCTCAGAGGCGAAGAAAAAATGCTGCTTAAACTGTTTTGGACTCTAATATATGAACCTGCTTGCAGGTTCTGTAGCACGTGTGATGCTTAAAATTGAAGAGTAGCATTCAAAGTACCCTGAGTCATGAAGCAGGCTCCATATTTTACTTTGAAATCCAGATAGAAATTCAAACTTCCTACCTTCTGAAAGGAGCGAGATGCAAGTGTATCGTGATTTCTGAGTAAAAGCCTAGAAGTGTGTTTCAGATTTCTAGTGATCTCTCTCCCTTTCTCTCTCTTAACAGTCCGAGATCTTTTATATGAGAGTGTAGGTAAATTATCTGTCAGTCTACGTCCTGCCGTAGCAACTGAGTTGAATGTAAAAGTCCTTGCTGGTTGTTCTTTGTTGTTAAGGATCCTACCTTTGGACTCTGCTACCCCTTAACCATTCCTTAAAGCACAAGTTCATCATTAGTCAGGACACGAAGCAAGAAGCCTTTATTAGTTAGGCGTTTTACTTGTGAGAAACAAAGCAACAAAAACCCCTTAATTTTGATAAACGTACTTTGACTTCATAAGATAGCTGTTAGAATGGTAAGTGTTTGACAATCAATGAAAACTTCCATGTTAGTTTGTTATTCTTATTGGGGAAACAGTCAAATAACCAAACGTGCATGTTGTTGTAGGATTTGGATCAACGGTACAACACAATTCTCCAGATGTATGGGGAGAAAGCAGAAGAGGCGGAAGAACTTCGACTGGATCTTGAAGACGTGAAAAATATGTACAAGACTCAGATAGATGAACTCTTAAAACAAAGACAAAA